ACGAGGGTGGCGCCGCTGGCGAGGTCGTGGAGGAGCTCCTGGTGGTCGGGGACCTGACGGAAGGCGGAGACGTCGCGCATCACGACGGGCACGCGGCAGCCCATCGCGCCGCCGAAGAGCTCCACCCACTTCATCTCGCCCGTCACGGACGAGGCTGCCATGAAAAAAATGAAGAATGCGAATGAAAACGAAAATGAAAAAGTGAGGGGAAATGTGTTGAGGATCCACTCCGTAATGCTTAAGAAGAAAGAAGGAAAAAAAATGGATCACATTGTTGTTTTAAATCACAGAAAAAGGTGAAAAGCGCTGCTGTGGGCATTAATATGGTGGATCCCCGCATCGCATTCGTTTTTTGTGGTTGCTGCTTAGCGTGGGTGGGGATGTCTTCGGAGAAAGGGAAAACATCCAACGTACGTCCCCCTTTCCCACCCAATCAAGCTACTTCAAACCCACCATTCATCCTCCCCCTCCCCTAATACCATAACGATTCCACTCTCGGCTTCCCTTTCAACCATTCCCTACTCCCTTCTTTCGCTCACCGCCTCTCGCGACGTTCTCGTTCGACGGCCGCTCTGAGAGCAGCGCACGCCGACGGGAGAGCCTCAGCAGTCGCACGATATCCAAAAGATGCCCGCGAATCACCACGTAGGCGTAGCCGAGAAACAACAAACATATCGCCACCTGCACGTCGAGCAGTACCACGCGCCCGTCGAGCGATCGGACGTGTTTCCGAAGAAAAGACGCGAGCGTGGCGGCGCCCGGGCCGTCGTAGTAATCGCACACCCCGCTAATCAACGTGTGCTGCAGCTCAGACGCGTAGAAGAGAACCGCATTCGTCCCGAAAAAGGAAACCAGGATAATGGTAAAGGCCACGCTAAGGTGTTGCAAGATACGACACTCCGTAAAGAGCCCCGTAAAGACGTCCAAGACGCTTGATAAGAACCACATCGGGGTAATCGATGGTGGAAAAGGCGTACAATACCTACTTCGCTTCACAGGTAATGTGAAATAGCCTCGAATACAATACGGACGTGATCCGATGCTTGGTCTTTAGCATTCCCCGCCTCACGCTCCCCCTCTCCCCCTTCTTCTTCTCCCTCCACTTCGCGGAAAGGACTCGCACGCAGGGGGTTTCACAATGGGGTCGTGGCTGTTCGTCTTAGAACAGCGTGCTTATGTGGTGGATTAAAACCTTTTGGGAAACAAAAATATCCTGGAAACCCTCAGAAAGAAAAAATACATGGGTGCAAAAGAGTGAGCAGTGGTGATGGGAACACTGGGGATGCCAACTTATCTCTCCTTTTAATTCCCCCATCTCCCTCCTTCATCCTCGCTATGGACCATTTATTGTTGTTAATCCCATAATATACACCCCACATATCCGCATGCGCGTCAACTCTGTCGAACGTGAACGATTGGCCTGGGCAAAGCGCCAACACGAAGAAGAATGAAACAAAAGGAGGAGGAGGAGGAGGAGGAGGAGAAGAACCCCCTCACCCTCCTTTCCGTGGAATGCCTCTCAGCCCTGCTTCCCCTTGAGCGCCTCCAGCTCGTCCATCTTCTGCTGGATCTCCTCCTGTACCATGAGGCTGGCGGCGTGGATCACCAGCTGGGCGGCGCGTTTGCTAAAATACCGCGCCGCCTTGCTATCCGGCCCGTTCTTCGCCTTCACGCGCTCGACGAGCTCGCCGGGGTTGGTGAGAGCGGCGAGCTGGGCTGGGGTGCGAAACCCCGCATTCCACAGCGCCCGCGCCCGCGCCGGCTGCACGCCTTTGATCTCCATCAGCGGCAGCAAATCCGGCTTCACGCCGAAGCCGAGCCGCTTCACGAAGGACGCGAGCACCGCCTCGAGGGAGTACCACTCCATCGCCCGGCAGAAACTCGTGATGGAGCTGCTAAACATCGAAACGGAGCGCATGAGGGCCTGGAGCTGCCCGCGCTGCACGTTATAGCGCCGCTCCACCTCGGGCAACGCGACCTCCGCGAGGACGTCCGCGAGGATCATCGCGAGGTAAAACCGACGGGCGGTGAACCACCGCTGGCTCCCCGCCTCGGCCGCGGCGAGGGCGGGCGAGGACGCCGCAGAAACCGCCGA